CCCCAAAACCCCAAAACCCCAAAACCCCAAAACCCCTTTTTGCAAAATTAGTGTTGAACCAACAAGAGAAATTATTGAATCTCTTCGTGCAACTTTGGCTCGTTGTAAGTTGGATATCCAGCAACACATTGGGTCTCAATTCCGAGATTATCTTCGTGCATCTTGATTTTGAAGAATCCATAATCTCCCCAATAAGTTCCCCAAGAGTTTCTAATAATCCAATATTCAGTTCCATCTTCAGCAACATTGTATCCAACGATTGAGACCTCATGATTGAGAGATGGAGAATCATTTACTTCAGAGTAGATTCCTCCATCATAGTTGTTTTCTAAATTCTCAGTGACTTCTAAAGCACATCCAATTGGTCCATAGTTAACTAATTCTTCTTTCATCATATCAGCTCCAATAACTTGTCTATATCCAGAAACATAGTAGCGTTTGTATGGAACTGACCAGCAATTTTCAAATCCGGTCTCACCTTCTTTAGGAGCTGGACCCTTACAGTCTCTGCAAACATTAAAGTCTGTGCATACAAGTTCTTTATCATCAACATCATGAGCAATATAATTTTCGCAAGAAGCATGAGCTAATCCGTGGGTTCTAGCAAATCTGTAGACTGAAGCTGGTTGGCCTCCACTACAAGTTCCGCCTGCCTCACAATTGAGCACTGATTGAGCAGAAATACCAACTTGAGGAGCTCTAGTATTGTTATTCCTTAACCAGTTCAAGATATTGAACCTATCAGCTAATGCAGATGTTGTACCCTGAGCCCAACATGATCCACAATAGATTGGGATGTGTTGGTTCTTTGTCCATGATAGATAATTCTTACCGCTGTAGTCTCTCCAATCTATTCTAGTCGGAACATCAGTCTTTTTAAGGTTCTTCAAATCTTCTGGTACATTAGTCTCCTGATCACCTTCCCATCTGTCTTCAATGTAGCAGCTAGTATGCTTAGTGTTAGTCTCTCTGATTGGATATGGGCCATTTGTAAAGTCATTTCTTGAATCTTTTCTATCCTTATCTGTTGTCTTATGAACTGTCTTATTTGTCCAGGTGTCAATAGGATATCCATAAGAGCAGCTACTTTCAATAGAGTTCATGTTAACTCCTCTTACAATTCTGAAGAATCCTTCTTCTCCCCAGCTTTCTCCCCATGAGTTTCTGACAAGCCAATACTTGACTCCGTCTTCAACTCCATATCCAACAACAGAGACTGCATGGTTGGTGCTTCCTCCTGTCACATTCGAGTAAATTCCTCCGGTGTATTCATGGAGGGATTCATGGGATCCAATACTACAGGAAATTGGTCCGTGCTTGTAGATTTGAGCCATCATATCTGTCTCTCCCTTTACTCTACCATAAGCACTAAGTTTATAGATAGGATATTCATCAGGAATAGTACAATTTTCATGAGCCCAACAATGTTTACATTTGAGAGATGGTGAGCATTTATAACCGTTACTGTGACCTCTTGCATGATAAATAGAACAGGTCTCGTCAACAGCATATAGGTCATGAGCATACTTATAGGCATTGTAGTGGCTTCCTCCATAGCATCCATTACTGTTTAGGATGCAAGAGTTGAAAATTTGAGGAGAGATGTTAATATCAGGCCAAGATCCTTTCCTCATAATTTTAATTCTATCAGAAATAGCACTAGCAGTAGCCTGTGCCCAACATGATCCACAGTATTGAGGAATGTGCTGATTCTTGATCACTGTCAAGAAATTTGTTCCATTAACATCATCCCATCTCCATTCTTCAGGAAGCTCATCATAATCCATCTTAAGAGGGTTAGGATCATTATCTGGAATTGAGCCATCATCTGGGATATCACAAGGAGTTTCTTGCAAGCTCTGGTACTTCTCGTAGTTTCTATCTTCAATAGCGAATGTGCTACAAAGAAGTAAGGCAAATATCAAAATAAGCTTCATTTTAATATTATAAAGTTAATTCTTTTCCTATAAATTTTCATTTTCCTACCATAAAAAAGGGGTTTTGGGGTTTTGGGGTTTTGGGGTTTTGGGGTTTTGGGGTTTTGGGG